CATAAGGCTACATACATACAGACTAATAGTGCTGGCTTTTAGATCACCTCCAAAAAGCAGACTGGTTACTCGTGAAAACTTGCTCTTCCTTCTCACCAGGAACTTGCCTGCTTCTCCACGTTGACCCTCACTATAAAGTAGGTCTATTTTAAGGGGTACAAGTAAGATACTAGCATTACTATATGGGGTCACATACTAAACTGACTTGTACTTATCTGTACTGCTTAGCATTGATCGTGAAGTTCTCAAGCCAAAGATACACACAAACTTCTTTAAAAATATAATTAAGGTTCAAAAGACCAAGTTGGTCTAAAGTTCATCATCATAGGTGAACAGCTATATACCAGAGACATTTTGTGGAGGTGGAGTGGGGAATGGGATCAAAAACAGTGGGGGGGGGGAGAGGGAAATGCACTGGACTATGGTGATGGCACATGGGTGATTTGGTGGTGGGAAACCCAAGGGGATTGCAACTGAGATGGAAAAATGCACCAAAATCTGCAAAAATAAACTATTATAAAATTTAAAAAACAGCTCACCACCACAGGGCCTCCCCAAATGGTGCAAGGGTAAAGCACAGCACTACGAAACTCTCCTCAGCCACTGCAACAAGAGTTCAATCCCTGGAAAGGAAGCTCACCCACGTCGCAGCAGACCTCTCCTGTTCCATCCACAGCTCCCCTCGGCAGTATATTTCAGTACATCTGCCTATTCCGTTCCCCACTCTGCCTCTAGTGAATCCTCTCACACACACACACCCCCCATACTTCTTGCCTGTACCCCAGTTCTTGTATGCATAAATAAATAAAAGCTTTAAAAAAATAAAGTTCACCATCATATCCCCAGTGCCTAGCAATGGATACCCTCAACAAAAATTTACTTATTGTTAACCATGTACCAGGCCCTAGGAGGCAGGCAATGGGGAACAGTAGTGCTTAAGACAATCTCAGAAACTATTGTAGGAGACTTAACTAGTACTGAAAGGGGAGGGGGGAGAGGGGAAAATAAGCCTCATTTACTGACCTAAGAATTTAGGAAAGACAAGATATGCCCCTAACCCTCCCCACCGTCATCTGGCTGGCCACCTTGTAACTCAGGTAGGTGCTGGAATGTCACACAATGGAAGACCTGACCACATATGGTAAATGGACTGCTATCATCACCCACTCCTATCACTGCTCATTCTTCCCCATTACCTGCTTCATTTCCTTCACACAGCTCCTATCTGAAACTGTATTATTCACTTACTGGACTATCTTTCACCACCAAAATGTTAACGGACCTCTCTTCTGTCGCATCCTTGGCTCATGCTAGCCCCTTCACCTAGTATCGTGGCTAGTACCGAACAGGCCTGTGATAAATAAATACCTGTGGGCGAGTAGGGCTCCTAACAGTGATGAGCACTCAAAATACTTAACATGACAATATTCTCACCCAGAAAAAGCCTCAACCCTATATTAACCAGGAATCAATTGAGTTGTGAGAATAAATAACAGAATTCTGAAACCTGTATTACAGAGGGAACATGGACAGTGTTCCACATAGCATTTCTTCAGAAAGCTCAAGTCAGCTGTAACTCATATCAATACAGAGACTCAGTATTCTATACTTAATCTGAAGCCACTATTTAAAAAAAATAGTTGGTGGACGATGGATATCTTGTTGGTGGGTGCAGTACGGTAATACTTCAAAGGGGAGATCTTATACTTCTAAGACAATGCTGTAGACTAATGTTACCTCAATTTTAAGTAAGAATTAAAAATTAAAGTTATGGCCCTCCCTGGTGGTACAGCAGGTTAAAGCACAGCACTGAGAAGCTAAAGCCACTTCCGCATGAGTTCGATTCCCGTTTGCCCCGGAGGTGACCACATGGCCCGGCAGACCTCTCCTGACCCGCCCGCTGCTCCCCTCAGCAGTGTACTTCCTCAGTCGGCCTGTTCTGCTCCTCACTCTGTTTGTGGTGAAGCCTCTCGCCACCCCTGCACCTCTGGCCTGTACCCCAGTTCTGTATGCATAAATAAATAAATAAATCTTTTTTAAAACTTAAAAAAAATAAAGTTACATATAAAAGTGAATACTTAGAATGGCAAAAATCACAACAAGCCAAGTATTTTATGAAAAATACCATAAATACAGAAGTTTCATGAGAAACCTTCACAATATTTTTTTCTATTAACTTTGGTTTGCATACTTTGATTTTTCTCTTCATGTGGCAATAATTCCTTGTCACTTTCTTTGATGAGAATAAAAAGACAATTCAACCTGTTCTCAAAAAAAATACAAATAAGTCAGTGGAGCAGGGACAGAGTTCTAGTCACAAAGTGAAACAGCACAGTGAGGACACAACCGTTAATGATACCATCAATTTAGGACATGTCCTTCTTCGCGGGACTGCACGGTACCTGGGCACAGCAAGAAATTCACAGCAGGTACTCAGCAAATATTTATTGAGTTTGCAAAAACCTATTTTTGGTATCCATTTTTATCTATAAAGGGAACATTTGGAACCCAACAACAACTAAGGCCGGCTAAATTCTTAGGAGACAAAGCCCAAGCAGCGGAAGCGCTGCACTGAGCCAACACGTTGAGAAAAGACAGCTGTGAAGAGATGGTTTCCATTTCATCCTGGTACCTTTTAAAAATGTGATCTAGGTGCATCGTTAATTTTTACTCTTCCAAATCCTTTTCTGAACTTGGATGTGGTGGTACTCAATCCTGGAAATCTTTCAAGAGGACAAATCTAGTTAGAACCAATCAATAGTTTGCAAGCTAGGAGATGAGCTGGATTCTCTTATGTGCTGCTTTTTGCCTGTTTATTTTCTACAGTGAGCAAGCACTGCTTTTGTAAAAACAAAACAAAAAACCTTTCATTAAAAAACAACCCCCCCCCAAAAAATGTAATGAGATGTAAGCCAACAAGTAGGACAACTATTATTTTTTTGCACTTTCTCTAAACAATAACAGTGTTGTGCAGACTCAACTGGCAGTGAACTACTGATTAACAGATGCCTTGGTCAGATGGTAGGTTCTAGTCACTGATAAGGTGCTTTTCCTTGTAAACAATTCCCAGTGTTGCTTGGCTCTCGATAAGTGCTCCACAGTAGCGTTAAGGCTTCACACTGTATCTGAGCAAAGTCTCCATGGCCCCCTTTCAAAAAGGCCATGAAAGTTTCCTGTTTGGACAGCTGGACGAGGTCAGGGATTTCCTAAGGTTCTGGGTGTCTGGACCCCTCTGCTACTCTCCTACCCACTGAGGAACTCAGAGAGCTGTGGTTTATGTGCCTTGTGCTATTGGTAGTTGCTCTACTAGAAATTAAAACTGAGAAATGAATAAAACATTAGAGCCAATGGAGTGGTGATATCATCACACATTCTGTAGCCTCTGGAAAACTCCACAGTACTACTGGGAGTTTGAGAGTGAAAGGCAAATAACTTCTTCAGTGTCGTTCTGAAGATTGTTTTGATCAGACAGAACTGCAGGAAAGAACCTTGATAAGCCGTCGATTAGATGTTTATGCACAGAAAGACTTCTCACTGTCCTGTTCATTATAGGATATTCAGAAACATCCCTCATCTCTCCTCCCTAGCTGCGAAAATGCAATCCCCACTTGTGACAACCAAAAATGTCTCCAGATATTGCTAAATGTCCACTCGTTGAGAATCCACTGCTGTAGGATTCTTCTAATAATGTGAATTAGAAAATATATTGTAATTCACTCATTGCCTTCTCAGACCTCTAATTTCTTTATTTTCTCCACTCCAATCTAGGTCTGTTCCTGTGTTCTTTTAGCAGGTGACAAACAAGGGTTAGCGGGTAGCAACAAGCACAGGATGAACCAGGTCAGAAAGAGACATTCAAGTCAAAGTTTACATTTCTGGGAAGAATGGCGTCAGGGACCCAGTGTTGGGAGGTTGGTGGGGGGGCAACATGCTCAGAGTATGATCAGTCAACATTCCTGCAGCCCTACTTCCTTAGGACCTGGTAACAAGTCGATCCCGAAGGAAGTAACCTGCCCTCCTCTGTAATCTAGTGAAGAGGCTAGTTGTGTTAAGAAAGGAAAGGAACTTCTGAAGATGAGGAAGTAGTTCACTAGACTCAAACTCGCACCCAGCCCCAAAACCTCCCATCTGGGAGGTGCTCCCAACTCAAAGTGCTGGGGGCTTTTCTGTTCTGGGTTTGGCTGGGAGGAAGTAATAAATGTGGTAGAAAACCCACACCGTCGATAACTCCAGGTAGAGATGCACGTCCCACACCCACGTTCCCATTTCTCACTTTTGTCTCCAGAGGCTGGGTCCAAGTTTTCTCACCTGCAAATTGCCGCGGCCATCTCAGATCCCTTCACCCCATAAAACTGCAACTGCCCAACTCCAACCCAGCGTCGCTCCTCAGCTGTGTAATGACGCTTCTTCCACAGCTGCAAATTCCTACCCACAAAGCCCCCATGGCCTTCGTACTCTACCGTCCTATCGGCCCCTGCTCCTCCCAAAAGTCTCCACTTGGGCCGTCTCTAACCTCCCAATTTCCTCCCACCCCCATAGTTTTCCACCATCTTCCGAAGTCTTCCCGATCCCAGGAACCCAGGACTCGGCTAAGAGTCTGCCACCCCAGAATCTGCACGCACCCCTCCTACGCTCACTCCTTAGTATCGTCCCAAGTTTCCTGCTCCCCTGATCACCCCTTCTCACTTTCCGCGGCCTTCTCCCTCCGGGTACCCCCCCCCCCCCCCCCCCCCCCCCCCCCCCCCCCCCCCCCCCCCCCGTCTCCTTCGCTCTCTTCCTACTCTCACCAGCCCGTCTTCCCCGCCAGCCGTCGGGCAGGCCTTCCTAGGTCACTTCTCTCCTCCCCCCACCCCACCCCCGGGCCAGGCGCCGCCGCCCCAAGTCAGCCGCTCGGCCTCTCCACCCGCTCCACCCCGGACCAGTCTTTCAGGTTGTCGCCTTTGAACTGGGCGCCCCGGGCCCAGACTGCGGAGACAAGGCAGGAGGGCCCGAGAACTCACCCAGGACGAAGCCCAGCAGGATGAGCACCGAGCCCGGAACCGGGGAGAGGCGGAAGCACACCATGTTCCCGCAGAGCAGCCCAGCAGGCGGAGGCGGCGGAGGCGGCGGCGGCGACGGCGTAGGCTGCGGCGAGAACAGCAAGACCCCGGCCAAGGCTTGCTGAACTGGAGCTGGAGCAGCGCGGACCACCTACCACAACGCTGCAACAGCCCGACTCGCAGCTGAAGCGCGGGTCATAAGACTAGGGGCGGGGCTCTGGCTAGCCTTCGACCAATCCCAGCCCTAGGAAGCTGCGAGAAGGGAGGGGAGGTAGGGGCCGCGGGGTGGAGAGGCCACGCCCTGGCTTTTTGGTTCACAGTCACTTTTCGTTTCCGAAGAGATGTACGTGGACGGCCCTTTTCCGGGCTAAGGAAAGGGCTCGATTTGCGGGATCCTCGATAGTAGAGGATTATTTCAGTTCCGACTTCTGGAGGAAGAAAATGACTTTGCGGAAGTGAAAGCGCTTGCTAGGCAGCTCCACGTATGGCATACAAAAATAATACTCCACTCTCCAATACTGTGGTTACTTGCTATTCAGTAAATAAGGAAGCTAGGGGGAGTATGGAGTCACTGACTGCTGGAGCCGGACGTGGCCTTGAAGTTCACCTAGTTTGTAAAAAATACCGTTTTTCAGATGGAAGAACTTGAACTCAAAAAGGAAGCTTCTTTAAATACAGAAAGACAATGAGAAAGAGAACTAAGATAGCAGGATAAAGGGGGAAAAAAACCAAAGATCATCCCTGTTTCCCCCGACCTAGAGACAACATCTATATCCTTCCAGTTTTTTATCTATCCATCTACACTTGTAGATGTTATTTAGTAAGCTCATACTGAACATACTATTTTGTATACTCGACAGATGAACACACAGAACCAAAAATACTCCATAGATGAAAGAATTTCAAAACTCCAATAAAGTCTCGAGTTGCGACAAAGCACTAATTCTCACATGTCAATTTGCAAAAGCATCTGGGAAATGTTAAAAATACACATTCCTGTATGTTCATTCCCTAGAGATTCTGCCACGCAGTAAGGGCCTGGATGCCTACGAATCTGGTTTCTTAACAAGTACCTCAACCGACTGATTCCTGTGTCATGAGCCATACTTTGAGAAATGCTAAAAAGCACTTCAAAATTATCCAGTCCAGGAGATTTTAGTCTGGAATCAGTGAATAAACTTGGGATAAGAGAAATATCTGTAAATCCCCCCTAATTACATGCAATGTTATATATTTTTCTCAGTTGGTTTTGAGTGGACCCTGAGCATTGTTATTTTTCTCAAAATTCCCCAAGGCAACATTAGTAATAAATCTGGGTAGAGAGGATCCCTAAGGTGACCCCCAACATTACAATTCTGGGATCCTATAAGATCCTATTTCTTTCAAATACAATCAAACATTTGAATTAATAAAATGTTTATGTCTTACAGACATGCCAAGTAAAAAGTGGAACACCGTGAGATATGAGCAACTTCATAACCACCCACCTCGACTTTTTCCTGAAAATGCTACTTGGGACAGTCCATTTCCACGGGAAAGAGCAGTTTTGAAAGTGGTAGATCAATGGCAAAGTTTTTTTTCTTTCTCACAATGAGACTAGGGGCCTCCATGGTGGTACCAGGGGTTAAAACATAGCACTATAAAGCTGTCTGCAGCCACTGCAGCACAAATTCCATCCACAGCCAGTAGGCCTCTCCTGTATCCCCTCTGCAGTATATTCAGTCAATCAGCTTGTTCTGCTCCCCTCCTCTGTCGAATAGATTCACTCCCCCAACACACACACCTCTGGCCTATACCCCAGTTCTGTATGCATGAATAAATAAAATAAATCTTAAAAAAAAGAAGTAGGCTAAAAAATCTCAAGGCTTTGTTTGGTCTGAGCTTCTGCACTCGCGATTGCTTCACGTCCCTCCCACCCCCCCACCCAAACATTGTGAGAACAACTCTCATTCCCATGCGTTGTCCTCATGACCATGGCCCAGGTTTGAAGGAGCTGGTCCCTGACTCTTTTAAAAAATATATTTATCTATTTATTTAATGCATAGAGAAACTGGGTGTAGGCCAGAGGTGTGTGTGGATGGGGAAGAGGATTCACCAGAGACAGAAGGGAACAGAACAGGTGGATCTACTGAAATACACTGCTGAGGGGCGCAGCAGAGTGGGTCAGGAGAGGTCTGCCATGCCATGTGGGTCAGCTCCCTGGCCAGGGATGGAGCTCAAGCCCTGGTGATGATAGCGCTGAGACTTAACCCCTAGGCCACAGGAAGGCCTCTCCCTGGATCTGTCCCTGGGACTTGGCCATGGTTTAAGATCTTTAACCTGAGCTTCCCATCTGTTGACTCCTTGATGCTGCATCCAGGGAACTTTTTATGTGTCCCTCCTCACCTCCCACACCTCTCACGTCCCCATTGCACAAAACTCCCAGCACGCCCCTCCCCCAAAGCCCCTACCACCACAGATAGATAATGAATCTCTGAGCAGCTTTGAGAAGTCATGGCTTTATAGCCAAGGAACAGGAAATCATGGCCAAACACTTCCCTAAGTGTGAACACACTGAATGGTGTAAGAAATAATGAGCCTGTCAGAACTGGTCAGTGCTAGACAATGCAATGTGTGCATTGCAGGAAGGAAATGGACATAAAGAAATGGAGATTTAGAAGAGGAAAATGATAAATGCTTATTAAATAAATGAATGTGAGGCCCTGAGGTAATAGTGTCATCTACAGGCCATGTCGTTCTTTTTCTTTTTTTCTTTAAATAAGGGGAGAGTGCAAAGTTTCCCCCACTATTACCTGTGGGAGCCACCTTCCCACACTTAGAGAAATAATGTGGGCAGCAGGTCAGCCCATCCAGAGTGCAAAGGGAGCCTCACCCTGGGAAACAGCCTTTCTGATCACAGCATCTCCCCTGCCAGATAAGTATCATCATGTCTTTTTTAAGATTTATTTTTGTTTATTTATGTATATAAGAATTGGGGTGTAGGGGCCCTCCCTGGTAGTGCAATGGGTTAAAGTGCAGCAATACAAAGCTAGTCGCGGCCACTTCAGCATGAGTTCAATCCCCAGCCAGGGAGGTGACCCACACATCGCAGATCTCACCTGTCTTGCTCCCTGATCTCCTCAGCAGTGTACTTCATGGATCTGCCTGTTCTGCTCCCCACTCTGTCTTGGTGAATCCTCTCACCTTCCCCACATCTCTGGCCTGATGCATAAATAAATAAATCTTTTTAAAAAAGAATAAGCCACTTCAGCATGAGTTTGATCCCCGCCCTGGAGGTGACCCACATGGCACAGCAGACCTCTCCTGGCCTGCCCGCTGCTCCCCTCAGCAGTGTACTTTGTAAATCTGCCTGTCCTGCTTCTCATTCTGTCTCTGGTGAATCCTCTCACCACCCCTGTACCTCTGGCCTGTACCCCAGTTCTATATGCATAAATAAATTTAAAAAAAAAAAGAATTGGGGGCATTCCCTGGTGGCATAATGGGTTAAAGCACCGCACTATGAAGCTCTCAGATGCCACTGCAGCACAAGTTCGATCCCCAGCCAGGGAGCTGACCCACATGGCACAGCAGACCTGACCCACCCACTGCTCCCCTCAGCACTGTATTTCAGTCAGTCGTCCTGTTCTGTTCCCCACTCTGTCTCTAATGAATCCTCTCACCCACCACACCTCTGGCCTGTATCCCAGTTCTGTAAGCATAAATAAATAAATCTTAAAAAAAAAAAAAGAATTGGGGCTGAGGGAGTAGGAGGGGTGAGAGGGTTCACTAGAGACTGAGAGGTCTTTTGCTCCACGTGGGTAAATTGTGAGGGGTTGGGGGGGGATTGAACTTCATGCTGTAGTGGCTGTGGATAGCATCATAGTGGTGTGCTGTCTCTTAACCCCTTGCACCAACAGGGGGGCCCCCTAAAGTTCTTTTTTAAAGATTTATTTATGTATACATACAGAACTGGGGTACAGGGCAGAGGTGCAGGGGTGGTGAGAGGCTTCACCAGAGACAGAGTGGGGAGCAGAACAGGCAGATTGAGAAGTACACTGCTGAGGGGAGCAGAGGGCGAGACAGGAGAGGTCTGTTGGCCATGTGGGTCACCTTGGGGCGGGGATGAAACTCAGTGCTGAGTTGGTTGCGTCTGGCTAGCATCATAGAGCTGCGCTATAACCCACTGCACCACCAGGGAGGGCCCTAAAGCTCTTTTTTTATAGAAATGTATGCCCTTGACCCGCCCATGCTCCCTCAGCAGTGTAATTCATCAGTCAGCCTGTTCTGCTCCCCACTCTGTCTCTGGTGAATCCTCTGGCCCCCTATACCTCTGCCCTGTACCCCTACACATAAATAAATAAATCTTTTTTTAAAATGCATAAATAAATAAATCTTTTTTAAAAATGTAATGTATGTCCAATGAACATTTGTAAAACACTGCTAAGCACAAAGAATAGAATGAAAAAAACCTGCGGTCTCATTCTGCCTAAAACAGTCCTTACTTTCCCTCCTCCTCCCAATCCAGACTGGCCTGTGCTCCGCATTTTGGTAATTTGACTTTCTCCAAAGAAACCTTCCCTAACCAGCCAAGGCTGGAGTACAGGGATTTCACCCACATGGCCCCATAATAACCTGGATGATCATTGCAGCGTAATCGTCTGTTCCATGCCCCATACCATGAAGTAACCTGGGATGTTAATCCAGGCAGAGAAGAGTGCCATTTTTTCCTTATGAGAACTGGTTAAAAAAGAAACATGTCACAGTAAGTGCTCTATGAATGTTTATTGAATTAATGAATGAATTGCAGCTCTAAGAATAGGTTCTGGCTTTTGGAAACCATATGACCTGAATGCAGAGGCGGGCAGGGTGGCCTCCCCTAACAGAATGTTTGCCTGTTTTTTTCCATCTGTGTCACATCAGGGAAAGTGGCAGGCGATATGCCGTCTTTTCCCTGGGCTGGCCTGCTGACTGTAGCCAACTTCCGCCTTCCTCTTCTACCACTTTCTCCTTAACTACATGCCTGTGTCTCTCTTTCTGAATGTTGCTCTCTCTCTCTCTCTCTCTGACACACACACACACTCTCTCTCACACAAGCATACTTGCACGCCAGCCTTATCTCTCTAGTGTACTCTTTCCCACATTCTCTTTCAACTCAATAGACTATGAAAGAGAGTGTTCCCAGAACATCATGACCCTTCCAACTG